CATCCTCGTAGCCCTCCGCTGGACTCTCTCCAGTAGCTCTTCATCTTTCTTGAACTGGGGAGCCCAGAACTGGACAGAGTACTCCAGATGAGGCCTCACTAGGGCAGTGTAGAGGGGAAGGAGAACCTCCCTCGACCTGCTGGCCATACTCCTAATGCACCCCAGAATGCTATTGGCCTTATTCTTATGTAAGTGCAGCTTACAAGTGGTAAGTGGAGCAAATTATGGGGGTGGCTGTGTGGTTTGGGCTCTACACATTTCAGGTCTTCGGCTTTTGGTTCTTCCTTTGTGTAATTTCTGGGGGTTTTTTTTGGTTTTTGTTTTTTTTAATTTGGAAATAGTTTTTAATGTTGTTTTGAGCTTGAAGTTGCATATACTGTCACTACACTCTGGTAGTTTTGAGTTTGCACTGGGATTTCCTTCTCTGAAGCAGAAAGATCTGCTCCTACCTGTTTAAGCAGTGCATCCCTAGTTGTGCTGAGGTTCTGCAGTCCTTGTCCCTGCCTCGACACAGTGAGTGGCCCTGGGGATGCTGGTGAGTTACCCGCACTGCCTCTTTTTCCCTGAATTTTTAACAGGCTTCATTCTTGGGTGCTGCGCAACCTTGAGTTCATAGTGTCCTGCAGTGGGAGTTTGGGCCAACCTTCACTTTGAGCAGCTGAGCCCCGTGTCATATTCTTGTTTTAAATAAATGAAGAGCCGGTCATTTTTCCCTCGCCTCGCTTTCAGTGATCATAAGCCAGTCTGAGTGGTCTCCAGGTAAGTCTTTGCAGCAAACTCTCCCTCCTCCCCAAAAGCTTTCAGACCACGATGTGCATCTGAATTTGAGAAGTCTTACACCTGCATCTGCTGTTCGTGCTGATTACCAGCCTAGAAATTATGCCGCTGCCACCAGCGCAGACCCAATTCCTCCTTCATAAGATGCATTGACCTAGTTCATATGACAGAAGAAGTACTTTTTAACATTTCCCCCGTGGTCTGCCGGTATGAGGGTACTTTTCAGGATATTTTGTTCTGTAACTGGGAGCATCGCCCCTTGCATATGGTGAGGAGAGGCCCTGACCTGCTCATCATGGCCCTCAGCAGAGCTGAGCTCTTCCCTTGCGTCCGTTTTGGGCTGCTTGCGCAGCGCGGGTGGTGTTTCGGGGCACCCTGTCGCCGGTAAAGGTTTACATGGCAGGATCTCATGAGGAGCCTCTGCTTTGATGAGGATGATAGATGCTTTGAAAAAGTAGTAGTGTTCATATCCAAATAGCATGAAAGAATATTATCTCAGAGATCAGCTGGAGCTTTATCTAAGGCCACACAGTGGAAGGGCACAATGTGAATATTTTGCACAATAAGTCAGCAGCCCAGACTTTTTAGAGCCACTGTTTGAACCTCATATTTATAAAGGCCATCAGACAAAAGAAAGGGGCACTTGGTAGCTGTGTTATTGCAGTTAGATGCTGTATAAAGGTGATCTAAAGAAACGATGGGAAATAGGCTTGCAGGCTTTTTCTTTCTTCCTTCTCCTCCTCCCTGGAGCCTCTGAACAACTTTAAAGGGTTTGGGTTTTTTTGCTTGTTTATCTTTTGTTTCTACCGCTTGTCTCATTCGCATTGCACATGTAAGTCTTAGCTCATTCTGGAAGTCTCTGCGGATAATGGAAAAAAAAATCAGAGAGCTTATGATATAATGAAGTAAATTAAGTCTGACTAGCTGAAAGTGGCATCATTTTTGCTCCGGTTGCTTGAAGCATTTTTCAAGGTCTGGGGGGAGGCTGGCAAGCTGCTGCTGTTGGCAATGCATGCGGGTCTTCATCCCAGACCTCCACTGCCAGCCACCTGGACTTGACCTTGGAAGGAAGGATGCTCACGCAGTGGGTATGCCTGGCCACTGCTGGCAGTGCCACGCTTCTGCCTGGGAGGAAGGTGTCAGGGCACAAAGGATAGAAACCAGGAGGTGTGGGGGTTGATGTGCTTCTCCAGCCCACAGCTTCACAAGAAGTGGGGCACGGTCCCTGTCATGGGACAGTGGTGTGGTCCTCTGGCTCTCCTTGGTCCTCCCTGCTCACCAAGGGGTTTTGGGTTGCTCTTCAGAAGGCAAAGGCGTGCATAAATCAGTTGACAGATAGGAGTCGCCACTTGGATGTGGCCGCGGTGACCT